ACGTAAGTTCTTCTATGTCTCCTAGATGAAGCAACAAGCCTTGTTTGTTTGTAATGAAGTCTCATGAAAAGGGTTCCTGAAAAGAAATGGAGAAGTGGGTTGGGTAGAAGGCAGAGAATGGAATTTTATAGGGTAATGTTCGGCTATGTTTTCTAATGCCCATTTGTTGGCTGTGATGGCTGCCCAGACCTGGTGGAATAGGACAAGACTGTTCCCAAAGGTGGGGCCAAATTCCAGATTGATTCCGCTGTGATTCTTGACACTCCTATCAAATCTGCTGCCCTCTGGAGAGGGTGCAGGGTTGGTCAAAGAGGCAGAAGACAGGTGTCTCGTGGAATAACTGAGTTTCTTTCTTTTCTGATACTGTGGCTGTCAGCCCATGGTGTAGGACGGCATCCTCTGCCTTTGTTGGGGCTGATATTTGTAGGGCTTTCTGTAGGGAGCCAGTTTTTAAATTCCCTGATATTGTAGCATGGTGCTCAAGTCCTTGAGGGAATGGAGAAGTTCATCTCTCCTCTGGCTGAGGAGGTCCATTCCTACAAAAGGAAGGTCTTCAATCGTGGCCTGTAGCTCACATGGTGTACCCGACACCTGGAGCCACAAGATGTGCCTCATTGCAAATAGCCTTGGCTATTGACCTCACGGCTGTATCAGAACCTCTTGTGTGGACTGGTCCAGGCTAAGGAATTATAACATTCTGCCGATACAGACCTAAAAGTGTCAATTCTTCAACAAAAAAACTTCAGAAACAGACTCCTGGATGTATATCATTAGGTGCAGGTGACTTTGTTGTTCTTTAATTTACTATTTTGTTCCTGCATTACTACTATCTTTGACACCTCACTCTCTGACAATACCTGTTTTTTATTACCTAAAAAGAGTAGCTTTGGGATAGATGTCTCCTAAACATCTTCACTGTCGAAAGCTGATGCAAATGAATCATGTAACTTTTCTATAATATCCTATTGCTCTTAGTCCCTGATAGTTCAGCAAACTTACTACTCCTTTCGCAGGCTTCCTGTTTTTGATACAATTAAATTATTTGTTTGGTTATTGGCAATTTGTTCTTCAAACTCCATCTTAGCCCTGCTAATTTCCACTTCCACTGGGGCCACACATGCTTCCTGTGCAGGGCCGGCTCCAGGGTTTTTGCCGTCCCAAGAGGCGGAAAAAAAAAAGCCACGATCGTGATTGGCGGCAATTTGGCGGTAGCTGCACTGCACCGCTTTCTTCTTCGGCGGCACTTTGGCGGCAGTTCCTTCCCTCTGAAAGGGACCGAGGGACCCGCCGCCGAATTGCTGCCGAAGAGCCCGACGTGCCGCCTCTTCCCCTTGGCCGCCCCAAGCACTTGTTTGCTGAGCTGGTGCCTGGAGCCGGCCCTGTTCCTGTGCCACCTCATGCTCCCCTGTGAGGACATATGTCACGGAGTGTGGGGAAGACAAGGCCCTGCACCCCCGCTTCCTGCGATTCACCATGACTCTCAGCCAGCCAGTAAAACAGAAGGTTTATTTAGACAACAGGAACACAGTCCAAAACAGGTCTTGCCGATACAGACAACAGGACCCCCTTTAGTTAGGTCCATCTGGGGACCCCAGGGAGGCCACAGCCCTGTTGGTCGGGGTGCCCCTCTTTACTTCCCAGCCAGCTCCAAAATGAAATTCCCTTCAGCCCCTTCCTTTCTGGCCTTTTTTCGGCTCCTCCCCCAGCCTTTGTGTCCTTTGTCCAGTTTCCCGGGCAGAGGTGTTACCTGGCCTCCAACCCCCTTCCTGGGTTCTCATGTTACATGCTCAGGTATCCTCCCTTCCCCAGTGCAGGCAGTCCCAGCAAAATTCCCCTGCAACCTTCTCAGGTTAATACTCCCCACTCAGCATTCAAATAACACATCAAGAACATTCCCACTTCGTCACAACATAAAAGGTAGAGTGGCTGTGATTCTAACTCACTTCCTGCTAACAACTAATGTCGGTGAGATGGAATGCAGGGAATGTCCAATCTGCTACTCTCTCTTTAGATACTCTAAGCCATTTTCCCAGGCCAACTTGGTGAAGAAATCTTGTCTTTATACTTGTTTCTATAGGGTGTTCATTAAGAAAGAAAAAAGATAAGAATTTGATTGCTGATCCCTGTGCTGGGGTGTATGTCTCACACCAACGTTGATAGGATTAACGATGGTCTGAGAGGTCAAGTAGGTCACCTGGTGTTACCTGAGAGAAGGAAGGCCAGGGTTAATTGAGAATGAAATCTGTTTGGGGAAGGGTTGGACCAACACTCTAAAGCCAAGAAGCTGAGAGCAAAAAGCAGCTGCAGGGGAAGGAGTCTGCAGTCACTTCCTGGGATGAGAGAGGTTGTGAAGGGCCAGAAGGAAGTCATAGGAGTGAGCCCTAGAATCCTGCCCAGGAGTAAGGAATCTGTCAAGAAGATAGAAGGTGGTGAAATAGCCACTGGGAGTGGTGTAAGCTTCAGTAGTAAACCCTGAGACAGGCAAGAGAAAGAGGGTGGAACCAAGGGAAACAGCAACATGGACGGGGACTGACCAGACCTGGATTGCTGGTTATAGGGTCCCTGGTCTGGAACCTGGTGCAGAGTGAGCAACAAACAGCAGGGGGGGCACCCGATACAGTGAGAGCTATATTCCCCAGACATTAGGGTGAAATGCTTTGTGCCAACCACAACACCTCACAGGGTTTAAATTCTTCCCACCCTTCAACAGACTTATCCCCATCAAAGATGTACAAAGCCAATATCTCTTTTGCCTAGGGAGAGAGACATCTCAGACTGATGCTCTGATTGCAAGTCCTATTCCTCCAGGATCTATAGGTTAAGGGAATCAAGCTACATCTTCTAGATCAGTCTACATGGGTCACTTTGTATCCAGAGGTGACAGAACCAGAGAGAGGCCAAATAAACCAGTATCGGCCTGCACTAGTTTGAGAACACGTCACATTCTGGGATTAGATGGAAAGAAGGCAGAGGACACCAACAAAGTTGGCACCAATGAAGTTGACATTGATTACTTCAACATCAGTGAAGGTCCCAGCGCCCAAGAGCTCAGCACCAACTACCTTAGAATCAGCAGATCTGACACTGATGACTCTGGTGCCTATACTAGCCTGTACTGGCACTTCAGCCATTGAACCTGGCACCTATGCCCAGTCATAAACAGGACACTGACTCACATTTATGAGCTTAAACATCTCTCTAAAACTACGAAAGGTTTGTGTTATCTCTACTGGACCTATCACTCCTCCAAGGTTAAAGCCACTGAGTAGTTAGGTGGAATGAGAGATCTGGCACTGATCCTTATACCAGTACCTAGAAGAGAGCCAAACAAAGACCTGAGAAATGCCTTGCAGGAGTCTGTCTCCCCTCTAGAGATACCATGGACAGAGACTGATCCCTTCCCATCCAGGAAGTTATAAATAACAATGAGGTGACCGACACTGGCTCCACACTACACCTGAGCTCTGCCTCTTGAGGAAGAGAGATGATACTCCTCCTCATTGCCAACATATTCCTTCTCACCAACATTGAGCAGAGGTGCTTCTCTGCTGCTATTGGGGAATGACCTCAGGTAAAGTACGATGGAGTTTTTTGAGCACTTTGATGCCCACCCAAACTCAGAGTCCCTGGTCATTTCTGCAGCACAAGAAAAATTGAAGTCCATTAAAGAATTCCTGAGGCCAAAGACCCTAGGAAAGTAGACATTTTTGGATACAAAGTATGCCTTGCTGAAGCTTCAGGTGGTGAACTACCAGGCATTGTTCACCAAATATAATTTGGGAGAGGATCACTTCCTTCCTTTCCAAAATCCAACAGGAGTGCAGGAATGAAATGAAGGAGATCATTAAAGTGGGCCAGATGGCCACAAGAACATCACTGTAGGTGACCTTCCACACAAATTTGATATCAGGAATTATAACATTCAAAAACCAGTAGGAGAAAACTTCAAACTCCCTGGTCACCCAATAACAGATCTAAAAGTGGCAATTCTTCAACAACAAAAACTTCAAAAACAGACTCCAACGTGAAACTGCAGAACTAGAATTAATTTGCAAACTGGACACCATCAAATTAGGCCTGAATAAAGACTGGGAGAATTGTCTTGTTAGACTGACCTCACACTTGGTAAGGAAACTCCCATCTTTTCATGTATTTATACCTGCTCCTGTATTTTCCACTCCATGCATCTGATGAAATGGGTTCTAGCCCAAAAAAGCTTATGCCCAAATAAATTTGTTAGTATCTAAGGTGCCTCAAGGAGTCTTCATGGTTTTTGCTGATACAGACTAACATGGCTACCACTCTGAAACCTCCCAAAGTCTAGAAACTGGCTAAGACTGAAAACAAAGAATAATACCACAGTGCCCCAATGTTCCACACAAGGACAGGTGTTCTTTAATACATTTAATAATGATCTGGAAAAGGCGGTAACTAGTGAGGTGGCCAATTTGCAGATGACACAAAAATTATTTAGGATAGTCAAGACCTCAGAAGATTGTGATGAACTTTGCAGGGGCCTCATAAATCCAGGTGAAAGGGTGAGCACAATGGGAGATGATATTCTTTGTACACAAATGCAAAATAATATATATTGTAAGAACTAAGTAGAACTGCTCATACACATTGCTGAATTCTAAATTAACTTTAACCTCTTAGAAAGAAGGCCTGAACATCACAGCTCAATAAAAACCCTCTGCTCAATGTACAGCAGTGGTAAGAAAAACAAAAGTCATGTTAGGACACACAGAACAAGAAATAAAATAATATTGAAAATATTATACCACCATTCTGGAAGATGTCATTCTCATTGCTGTAAATTTACAGACCCCACAGACAATACATGCCAGATTATCTGCAGGCATAATTCTATTGATTTCAATGGACCTTAGCTTGCAAAGAATTTGACCCCACAAATCTTATTTGTATTCATTAGTTTAAAATATTAGAGGGAATACAGTAATATAAAAAGACAACCCAAATAATCTGGAGAGTTATCTTACCATGGCAACTACTGGAGTTCTTTCTGTTGATGACAAGAAAACAGATAATTGCTTATGTTGTTTATGTGATTCTTCAGTGCTCCTTTTGCCCTGAGAATTCCAAAGTACAAAGAAGTGTTAGTCTTTAAAAAACCCTATTTCAGAATCTGAAAATTCCTTTGTAGTTTTAATTGACATCAGTTCTGTTGGCATTAGAATCAATCCATTCAGTGTTTACAAATACACATTGTCTCCTCCCAGCCAAGTTCCCCATTACAGTATAAATCTCTTGAAACCTAAACAAATACATGATATTAAGGTACTGTTAAGACTATGAGATTCAGTGCTCCAAACTCAGCAAACAAAAAGCTAAGATGATGACAGCCTAGCCCTATTGCTCATCCTTTATATTTTATAGCAAATACTTAACAATATAAACATCAAAATATAGACGTAATCATCTAAAAAGAGAAACAGGAATAGAAAATAGTGTAATGCAGCAAAGCTAAATTTTTACTATGAGCACTTTAACTTTTAAAGTTCCTGGTTTTTGAGTATTTAAATTTATAAACTTATTGTTATATTAACAATATGAAGAGTAGTTTATTTGGTTTTCCTAAAAGGAAAAAAAGAAAAGGAAAAAAGAAAAGTTAAAAGGGGGCCTCAAGGGTTCAAAGAACCTTTATTTATTTATTTCAACTCATGTTGTGGTCTATCAGCAATCTTTATGCAAACATACAATAAAAAATATTTTAAAACATTTACATGAATAATAAGCTAAATTAACCTAACATCAAAAATATGTTTGATTTCAGATTGCTATGCATTAAGCTGTTAGGACCTGATTCAGGGAAGCACACAGGCACATGCTTAAGTCCCACTGACTTCAAATGTATTATTGTAATGTGGGGCTCCATAAGGACAGCAGCTTAATGGTAACATCAATACGACTTAAACACATGCTTAAGCAGGGCCTTAATGCATGCACCTTAGCTGTTCTAATGACAGAAGTAAAAAAGCCTACATTATAACACCACTTGTGGAGCTTGTAATGTCCATTTCCACAAGAACATGGTTTGTAACATGTAACACTTATAACTGTGGCATGCATGGGTGCTTATAAACATCACAAGAGTTACAGCACAAAAGTAGCACCACCACAGGAGCAGGAAAGAAAAGATTGAGCAAATAGACTGTTTCCTGAGCCTGCAAACTTGTACTTATAAAATGTACCCAGGGCTACTACAGTAGGGATTACAATGAGAGCATAAAAGGATAAAGGGTACTTTTCAAGATACTGACAGCATCTTTACTCACAGCTACAGGCTTACATTTGTTGTGGGGAAAGTGGGGACAGGTTCAGGACCATGCAGTTTCCTCACCTGCACTCTTCTACTCTCTACCCTATATCCATTTTCTCTCCTCTAGTCCAATGACCCATACACACACAAAGTATGTGTGTGTATGGGTCATTGGACTCATACACTCACCCCAGGTTGGGAATCTATTATATAAATTATGCTCCCCACTGGTTTTGTGACACCATATAAGCTCTGCACTTCTTACTCAGTGGAAACCTTTATGTGCTGCCAACTTGATGTATTTAAAAGCTTTATGCACAAAAAATTAAATGCAGGAAATGGAAGAACGGGAACAGAGGAAACAATAATCATGAGCTACATGACTCCAACTAGAATAATAATTTTTTGACTACTGTAACAACTTTTGTGGCCAACACTGAAAGCTATGGCCTTGAGGACCGATGTAGCACTTTGAAACGTTAACGGCAATTTTTGTTCTTTTTCAATCACCATATTTCATTTATTATTTAATGCAGTGAGTTTTTAAGTATATTTTTATATAGGGGTTTACATAGCTAAAGGTATCAATATTTTGTTATTCATCTCCCTTAATCAATCAGTACATGAATGTGGAAAACACTAGCTATTTTTGAGAATGTCTTTTGTTAAAGGTGCAGTAATTGGGGGGCGGGGGGTTAAGTTTTGTGTTCCAAGTTTTAGTAGCCACTTTTAAAACTGAATAGAGGTGCCATGAAACACTGCTAACCACCGATTTTGGTGCACAGACCTGGCTATATCCCCAAGAAACCTTAGTTTGCTACCCCCACCTCTATGAAGACACTGTTAGATCTAAATTTTTCTATATTGAGTTCTAATGATAATGTATGTGAACTGTTCAGCTTGCTTGATTAAGACCTAGGGGAATTAAGTTATTTGCATTTGACAAATACTGGAAAAAACTGTCCTACATCTAACATATTTAGTAATATATATTCTCTTCCTTCCCATATGATAATAATTCTGTTAAAGTAAGCTGTCAGGGAGCAATAATGGGGTCCTTAGGTCAGTGATTCTCAAACTTTTGTACTGGTGACCCCTCTCACACAGCAACACCTCCTATAAATTAAAAAAAAACCCTTATAAATTAAAAACACTTTTTTACATATTTAACACCATTATAAATGCTGGAGGGAAAGCAGGTTTTGGGGTGGAGGCTGACAGCTCACAACCCCCCACGTAATAACTTTGTGGCCCCCTGAGGGGTCCCAACCCCCAGTTTGAGAACCCCTGCCTTAGGTAGTTGTACTTGATATATTTGATAATACAGAACTTGAGAGACAGAGTCACTCCATGAGTAAAATAGGTTTATTACTTGATCCTGCATGAGAAGCACTTATTTTGTTGTTTATGTTTAGTTTGACTTTTAATATTTTTATATCTTTACTTGAATGCTGAAATCTAGGAATACTGTACTTTTCCATTCATAAAAAACTATTTTAGAACAAAAATTAAGAAAAAACACTTATTGTGCTCTTCATTGTAAAACAAGATTAGAAAATTACTATAGTTCATCTTTTGTTTACTTGCCTCAGCCTAATTTTATCTGTGAATGCAGTATTGATTATTTATTGTCAGAAAGCAATGCTGAGTACTCTGTAATTCCAGAAACCTAACGTAAATTTGCCAACAACTAAGCCATGTGAATTGTTACACTGTTTCATGATTGGTTAATCTAGCTGAAAGCAGTGTAATCCTACTGGATGTTTTCTAAGGAGGCTAGAGTCCTCATCGCTTTAACTGGGCATACAGTATATGTCTGTGAAAGATCACAGAGAACCAAACCATGGAGAACTGTATGAGAGCTGGGAGCTCTATTGAGAAAAACTATGTTTTAGATCTAAATTATTTTGATCCTGACCAAGAATTTTGCAAAGAAGAAGAGCATAAATAATGAAAATATTACTAACTGAGGTCTGTGAAATAATGGTTAATGTTAGCCAACTCTCAAACACTGTTAGAAAACTTAGCCTAAAAATTACTCTGATATAGAAGAGGCCTGGCAGCAGCCTAACCAATAATACAACCTCAATAGGAGTGCAGAAGGGGCAGAAGCTCCTGTGAATGGTGGGGCAAGGGGATAGAAGGGGGGATACTGAGACTCGGAGGCAGCCGGCTGGACTCAGAAAGGAGGACTCAGAGTTCCTATCTGCTCCTGGGATCAGTACAGCCCTTCCAGGCTCCACTCCCTGTTCTCCAGCCTGACCTCAGGCACCACCACAGCTGCGCCAGCCCCTCTGGATCCTGTTTCCCCCCCCCGCCCCAACTCAGGGGCTTTCATGAATGTATGTAGGCCTGGAGCCCCCACAATAGTTCCACTGTGAGGGCACCAGCCCCTCTTGCCCTCTGGTTGCACCACCTGAGAAAACCATATTTGAACTTTGCAAAAAGCGTTACTGTAAGTTAATCAAAAAACTATGAATTATTACAGGGAACCTGTGAAGAAGGCAGAACATTCTTTAGCCTTTACAAAAGTTTAATTTTATTTTATAGAAACCTAACCAGTGCTGGTGCATATTATAAAAATAAGAATTGAGAAGTAAGTGTGGAAGCAGGGGAAAGGGCTGGAAAGAGACCCTGCTGTGGAGCAGAGAACTAGACACCCGTGAAAAATCTTTGTGGGAACAAGATAAAACAAGAACAGATCAAAGAAAGGTACAAGGATGGATTGCAACATGAACCTAAGAAGCACGCAGACCTCTCAAATGCAGTTTTATTCACAAGTGAGCCTGCACACAGAACTATTTGTGAACCATGCTTACTCAGCACAGCTCTCTGTCCTTCTCTAGTGTCTAGACCAAACAAACTTTAATATATCTGCTCAGCCTTTGAGCTAACAAGTGAGGGTTTTTCAGCTGAGGCAGCAAAGGCTCAGATTTTAAATCTATAGGTCCAGGTTTCAATCCCTCTGTCAATACCCCATGCAGGGATGTCAAAGAACATCTCCAAAATAAAAATAAAAAGTTGTAGTGGACAGATAGTGACTGGGAGCAACTCACCCATGAGCTAGCAGGTAAAAAGTAAAGTTTGCCTAAATACAAAGTGTTCTTGACTGGATGAACTAAGCCACCCCTCCAGGGTATCTTGTGATTAACAATGACCAGGGGGAGAAGAGAGAAAAGTTATCTACTTATTGTTCTACTGAAATTTTGTGTTTGCATGAAATATTTATTTTTATAACTTTTACTGTTGAAGTAACGTATGTCAGAAATTGGAAGATCCTGGAAACTGATCCCCATTTAAGATAAGGCCCCTTTAGTCTACTATGCAAAGTGTACATTTATTTTATTTAAGGCTTCTTTTCTTGCCAGAGTGAGGTAAAGGGATTTTAGTTTAAATGACAGTGATGCCCCATGTGATTATCATTGCAGTAATTAAGGGTAATACAATAACAGTGATAATTTATAAAAACAAGTTTTACCTGTACATAAATCCTAAAGTAAAAAATTGTATATCTATCTACTATTTTGCATAAAGGTTGTGTGACTAGAGCACCTGTGGAAAAGTTAACAGTTGATCTATGTGCATTGCTTGTTTGTAATCAATGATTCAAAAGTCTCTTACACAAAACAGCATGAACATATATATTCCTCAAAAAGAACAGGAGTACTTGTGGCACCTTAGAGACTAACAAATTTTTTGAGCATAAGCTTTCGTGGGCTATAACTCACTTCATCGGATGTATATAATGTATGCTGTAGAACACGAAAGCTTATGCTCAAATAAATTTGTTAGTCTCTAAGGTGCCACAAGTACTCCTGTTCTTTTTGCGGATACAGACGAACACAGCTGCTACTCTGAAACCTGTATATATTCCTAAACAGCATATGACTCTGGTGGAAAAAATTGCTTGCAGAAATCTTATTTTGCATTACTATCTGTTCAAGTCTTATTAATATTTGAGTCATCTTTGAAAGAACAAAAAGTTAAAAGTCTATTGTCCAAATGTTGAGTAGGAATATTGTTAACAATTATTAGATATGTGCTATATTTCCAAATAATAAATCCTAGTGAGAAAGAAACATAGAATTGTTAAATTATTTCAATATCTGATTGTCTGTGTTATTGCATGGCCAAATGGAAATTATCTGGGCAAATCTGTGTTATATGAAGGGACGATATCCTTCATGCCACCTCCACCAATTAAAAATATCACCAAACTTATCTGTTCTACTTTATGAATATCTATTATTTTAGCTTTGTTAATTAACTGGTACCCAGCTTGGTTCTAATTGGGAATTTGATAGTAGTCCTTGCTCATTTTAACAATTGTGTGCATATACGTGAGGGTAGAATTTGATCCTGAGTGCATTAGACAGACTATATACCCAGATTAATCAGCATCAGGCCAAACTGCCATACCATGGTGAATATATGGCAGAATATAAAAATATGTCCATGCTACTTAACCTGAACTGAGAAAATTCTGACTCAGTTGATAAAGTTAAGCATTTCAGTAACATACCTACACAGCATTTTTAGGAACAAAGTGGGATCTTGGTGTTCTGATATGCATGTCAAAATGTCTGAAGTGTTTTTTTTGTTTGTTTGTTTTTTATTGTTTTGTTTTTCCCCCTAGCTCACAGTTATTCCGGTAGAGTTGGAGTCCAAGTTCTGAGCAAATATTGAAAAGTTGAAACATGCATATATGGATCTATATTATACAATTATGGGTGTTTATTATTTAGTTCTCTTCTTCACAATGTGTATTGCATTGCAAATTGGGAAACTGATCAGGATGGGTCAGGGTTCTGAGGGGAAGGAATTTTTCCCTAGGTTAGATTGGCAGTGACCTTGGAGCGCGGGGTGGATTGCCTTCCTCTGCAATGTGTGGGTGCAGGTCACTTGCCACACATCTGTGTATATCTTATTTAATCATTTCCCTGATTGCAGGGACCTCAAGCACTGGTGCAACTTGGTGCCTCCTATTCACTACCCGTGGTACATAATAATCTAATCTCCTGTGTCCCTCATTTACTTTGGCCTCAGTTCCATTGGGTTTGCATAAAGGTGCTTGGTGGTGTCAATGGCCTGCAACATACAAGAGATCAGACTAGATGTCCTAGTCATAGAGTCAAAGGCCAGAAGGGATAACATTTTTAAGAATATACATTTTATTTCTACAAAATATTCATGAAACATTTCCAAAATCCTGAGGCGTTTTATCCTGACAGATCAAGTCCCCAAGAACTTCTCTTTACCATTTTAAAAAAGTTAATAGCTTCAAGTTACCTGATAATCAGCTGGTCCAGGAGTACAGAAAGCTCCCCTCTTAAAAACATAGAGAGGTCGAGGAGCTGAAGATCCAAATGCTCCTTTCTTTGTACTCTCCAAGTAAGCTTTTTTAAAATTCTCTCTTTCAATACTATAGTTGAGAATATTATAGAAAGCTGGACCTGAAAAAGTCACAGTAGAGTTATGAGCCACCATCATAGTTTTGATTTTTTATCATAAATAGTCATTTAGAAATACATTATATTTTAATATTCAATTAAAATTGTTATGTTTTCATACTGTAATGAAGTTGTCTCAACCAATGAAAACACAGGGATGCCATACATTTACTGACCCACATCTGTGAAGTTACCTGCCAGTTATATCAATGTATGGACCCTGTGGTCTGAGGGATTTTGATTTGCAAAATGACTAATTATAGTTCAGTAATATATACAGTAATCACTCTTAAAAGCTTTCCCATTTTGCCTTGGATAACTAAATAACTACCTCAATACTAGTAGTGTTAGTTTAAAGTCCTGCTCAGTCACCCTTACACAGACTGAGTAGCATCTTACTCTGCAAGTAGCCCACTGGCCATGACAGCAGTTACCCAGGACGGACAGCACTGGTATTGCAGTACTGTTGATTTAGTGAAGAATGGGACAGCAGTTTAATAAGTGGGACTACTCAAAGAAAAATGGACTACTCAACATGAGTAAGGGTGGCAGAACAGAACATGGGGTGAAACTCATCCATGGGCAAAGGGCCTGGACAAGGCCTATACACCACTTAAGTCCTCAAAATAGAACATTGCAAAAGGGAGAGCTGTACCCTCAGTAAACACCTAGGGAATGTGACACATACAGGAATGTCATTAGATATTGGAAAACCAAAAATATGTTTAGTTACAGTTAAAGCTGCAGCAGAACACACACCCTCCATCCAAAACCTTAAAAATGTGGAAATAAGAAGTTAAGGGGAATTACATGTGCATTCCTTTCCATCTTCATACTGCCTACAATGCTATTAATAATGCACTCTAATGCTCCATAAGGCTTTCACTTCCATCTCCAACAGAGTCCAAAATTAATATATATCACAACTTCATCAGATTTGCACTCAGTTTTGCAAAAAAAAACCATTTACAATGACCTCATACACTTATACAATTATATCAACAGACAGCACGTGTGACTGTCACACATTCAGCGCAGTAATCACTCACCTCCCAAAATACTGCACACTGAGGGGGATAGAAGAAAAAGAGAATGGGGAGGGGAACTATATATTGGGAAAGTAATATTTTCAAGGGATGCTTTTTTAACACAGTAAGGGGTTTAAGAGACATTGAAGGGTGTTATGTCCATAATGGTGAACTTTAAGTTATTTTCCCTTTTTCTCTCTCTCTCTCATCCGTCTAAAAAAGAAAATAATCTAAAATCCATTTGGATGCATACAGAAGGATTCACCAAAGTGTTGGGGAAGAGGGCTGTAAACAAAAGACAGACCCCTAAAGCATCTGTCATCAGTAGATACTATTTGCCCTGAATATGAACTTTCTGATACTTTAATTCAGGGGTCAGCAACCTGCGGCACGCGTACCAAACACAGCACGCAAGTTGACTTTGAGTGGCACGCTGCTACCTGCCGCGGTCCCGGCCCCACCACTCTCCCCTGCGGGGGGCAGGAGGCAGAAGCTTGGTCCTGCAGCAACCAAGCTTCCCCGCTTTTTCCCCCAGCGTGGTGCTTTCCTGCCCCTCCTCCTCTCCTTCCCTGTGCCGATCAGCTGATGGCCCTTCGGAGGGGAAGAGGGACGAGTGGCAGCGTGCTCGCTGCTCCGTAGAGGAGACAGAGAAGAGGTAGGGACGGGACCTTGGGGAAGGGGGTGGAACAGGGCATATCCCTTCCAGCCTCCTGCCATGAGCCTCTCAGGGTACGGGGCTGGGAGCACCCCAGTCCTCTGCCCTGACCCCGAACCCCCCCACACACCCAGCCTTCTGCCCTGCACCTCCACACACACACCACAGCCCTCTGCCCTGACCCCCCCACACACACCCAGCCTTCTGCCCTGCACCTCCACACCCCTTAGCCCTTAGCCCT